TTGAGAATCACTGCTGCATTAAAGACATAGTGAGAAAGGGTATACATTGAGGACAAGTGAAGTTCTAAAATGGTTACAAGCATTTGTTTAGTGGCTGTTTGAAGTTACAATGGCACTAAAAAAAATTACAACTGGTCTTTGCGCTTACAACCATTGCAGCATTCCCAGAGTCTCATGATCAAAATTCAAGTGCTCAACAACTGACATATTTACAATAGTTGCAACATCCTGGGTCATCTGAATGTCATCTGCAATCTTTCTAACCAGCTTCTGAAACCATGGCAAAGAGGTCATAAAATCAGGTGTGAATCACTTAATAACCACCTTGCTTAGCAACAGAAATTCTGATCCCAACTGTGATTGTAAGTTGAGGACTCTGAATTAAAGTGAGGTAGGTAAGAGAAGATAGTGCAAAATAATCTCTATTATAATGGTTATGTGGCAAGGAAAAAATATCTTTGAACTGTAGTAGTAGTCCTTTGATGAAGTCCATTATTTTGGTCAATTGTATAAGAATCCACTCTTTAGTCAGTTTTTGAATATAAGCTTGTGCGGAGAGTCAATCAGAAGGAAATAGCTGAACTTTGGGAAATGAACAAAGAAGGTGGAGTATTAACCATTGGAAACTAATTCTGCTTAGTGTTATTAGGAACAGAAATCTGATTTGAATTTTAAGTAAGGATCAGTAACACTTCTAAGCAACTTTTCTTTCTTCTCATTTACCTCACCAGATTATACAGAGTTTATAATTTAACAATGTTATTTACATATTTTCATTGCATTATTTTGTTACTAATAAATTTTGGATCTCTTAAAATCTGTCTCTGATTATGCCAACCTTACTCTGATGGCTAGAATTTACAGACCAGGGTAACCATTGTGTTTCTGGAGTCATTTTCAAACAAAAAGAAGCATCGAGTAAATTTTAAAACTTTTGAGAGTTTATAAAAGGGAATTTTGTTTAGAGAGAAAATAAGAATGACATTCTCTTTGCTCTTTCCACATTCCCATTTTAAGCATAGCATGTCATGTGGTTTTAAAAGATTCTTTTAATTTTTTGTAATTTTAATCTGTTTTTAAACTTATAATTGTTTTTACATCCATATACTTTATTACGTTGTATGCTGCTCTGAGTTGCCTTGAACCACAAAATGAGTGGCATATAAATTTGATAAATAAATTTAAAAAATAAAAAAAATTGAACATAGCCAAAAATTGGTTTCATACAATGTACAAAACTATATTGTGTTGAACAAGTCATAGTTTGTTGAATGTACAAAATATTCTAAGTCACAAACTGTTGTTGCTGGAGGCTACAAGAGCAATAATCTGGGACTGGGAAATCAGAATCCAAGATACTTTAATTTCTCCAAACCTACTGAAGTTAGTTTTGATTCTCAGAATTAGTTGACACCTTTATCCAAAACCATCACATCATTTCTATGTAAGAATATAAAGAAAATTTGATACTAGTTTGTTATAAGTTCATCATAGATTTGAATTGTACCTGGTCTCTTCTCTAATAGGGGAAATATCATTTTCAATCTGTTTAAGTAATGCATTATCAAAGCAATTATGAGGATTGGATGAGGTAATACCTAAAATCACATATTTATGCGTATGAACACAATTCCAACAATTAACTATGTATCTTAGATAAAAACTAAATTTCTCCAGCTTGTTATTTCCCAACTAATTTTCATATTAAGAATTTACATATTCTCTTAGACAGATGTACAATTGCAAAATATCACCATTTTAAGCAGCCTCTCTCCAATTACTGTTTTCTTCCTAACACCCACATTAATTCCACTGTGTTCTACAACTGATTTTGTAAATTTCTGGAAACAGGGAGAAAACATATTGACTAGATCATCATGTTTTTGCTTGCGCTTTTCATGATAGTGGATGTTATAAATAGCTATGGAAGTTTATTGTTTCATTATGCTGCTTGTTTTCAATTGGATTGATGTTTTAATCTTGAAAGCTGTTTGTGAATCTTCTGTTCGGTTCCAAGATATTATATGAAGAGATTAAATTAATGGAATACCTGACATCTGCATGCTTAACTTTATTGCACATGGTTCCAGAAAACAGTATATGTGTATGATTTTTAGTACTTAAAGAAGTCCCACTTATAGCAACAGTTTATTATTTAGAAATATATTTATATACTTTCATATTGCTTCCTATGCTGAAACATAAAAATAATATTCAATAAAATATACTCATTTAAAATAATGGCACATTCTTCTAATAGTCATATTATGAAGACCTGACCAAAGAGAAGTTTGCAACAGGCACCAGCTTTCAGGGACAGAGCATTCTAGGGTATGGGTGCCCCCAAAAAGACTTATCTCTCTATAAACATTTGCCAGGTGGCATTCAGCAATCCTCAGTATAGTATATGCAGCAGAACCTGCCCTGATGATGGACCAGATCTATTATGGCAAAAGTGATCTGACAGGTATCCAGTGCTTAGGCTGTTTACAGACTTTTGTGTTGAAACCAAAACTCTGAATCTGGTTTGGTAACTAATTGGCAACCAGTGCATTTCCTTCAACAAAGGTGTTTCATTTGTGAAGTACCTCATTTAGCAAATGTATACTGCTTCACTGTGAATTTACCTGGTATTTTCAGGCAATATCACAAGGGAGATAATAGGATCATGTCTCTAGATACTTGATATAGCAATATTGCTTCACAGTGCTTTACAGCCCTCTCTAAGTGGTTTACAGAGTCAGCATATTGCCCCCAACAATCTGGGTCCTCATTTTAGGGTGGAAGGCTGAGTCAACCTTGAGCCGGTGAGACTCAAACTCCTGGTAGTCAGCAGAATTAGCCTGCAATACTGCAATCATCTCGAAATGGTGGCTTAAATTAATTAATTTATGTTAGTTGGCTTAGATGCCACTTCAACTAAATACAATCACATGATTTATATTCTTAAATGCAGTAGTAAAATTAAAAGAACAAACAACAAGAAAGAATAATTGATTACTTTCAACCAAGGAACAAGCAATAACCAAGTAATGACATTTTCCTGTAGGTGGGATCAGTACATCACATCAGAATATTTGATCTGAAGAGGAATGATGTTGCAGTCCGGAAGAAAGGTGCTGGAAATAAAATGGAGGCTGACTGGCTGCAAAGAAAGGAGGTTTATTTATGAGCAGAGCCAACAACAGCATGTTGTTCTGGGACAGCTGAGAAAGTTATTTGATGAGTACCTTGCTTTTTATAGGATTCTGGAATTTTGTGATTGAGATGCTGTAGAGATTGTGCAATGTAGTGAGCCTTCTGTCTTTTGCTATTCTAATGGTGGCAGGTTAATCCTATTATGTACTAAAGGTCATATCCGGTTCTTAGAATTTGGATGGGGGAATGTAAATTCTTAATTCCATCAGCTGGAACTGAAGGTGTTTTGTTTTGTTCATGAATAGGCTGGCCTGGATTTCTTAATGGGTACAAAATATCTATCTCTAAAGACTTCAGGGATCTGCTGGAGGCTGTTTTACTATGCAGGAAGCTCCATTTCTCCTTTGGGGACATATAATATTCTGCCTCTTTTAATATTCCCCAAAATATTTCATTCTCTGGGGGTTGGGGGCTTCCAGCAGTTGTGAATAATGCATGCATAAATGTTTTCACTGGAAGTTAGCTTAAGTGTACAAAACAGTTACATAACCCTTTTAGATATATTGCTCCTTTAATGGTTCAAGAAAGGGCTTGATTCACACTAACATGATATCTGAAGCTTCTGTTTAAAACAAGCTCTTTGTTGCTCAGATAATATTCCCCAACCTGGTACTAAAATTCAGGGTGGATAAAAATCAATGATTTTTTTAAAAAAATCAAAAAAATCAGATTTTTTTGATTTAAATAGGATTTTTTTAAATTTTTATCGAATTTATTTTAATAAAAAACTTTTGGGGTAAAAATCTATCGTAAGATAGTTTTCTATTTAAGATACATACATAATTTAGTTTATTCAGCATGAAATGGAGCTTAGTTATGTAGCATGAGGCTGTATATTCTGCAACACTGGGACTATCGGTGAGTCAACAGTGGGTCAAAGGAGTAACAGAGATGACAGTTGCTCTTTAAAAATTATGATTTAAATCGAGTTGATTTAAATCAAGCCTTTTTACTAGTGATTTAAATCATGATTTAAATCAACTCGATTTAAATCAAATCCACCCTGCTAAAATTCAAGCCTTATTTCTGAATTAATTATGGCAGCTTGAATGTGCAATACACCAACTTCTAAAGTGTGGCCAGACAGGAGGCTGCAGCAGCAAATTCCTTTTGAAACTTGTGCAGACAAATTCACAAGCACAGAAGTTGCCATGCAAATACACCTGCTCAAATTATTAAACAATTAACATTAGCAAAGTGCAGCATCACCGTCATTGCTTGCACCTAGTCTGTCATTAGAAGTCTCTGAAAATCAAGTCCTTTAGAAGCAAATTATTGTTTTTTCATTGTAGCATCTGCGATTTAGCCCATTTGGTTTCAGTTCGGATGTCCCAAAGATGCTTTTCCAAAAGGTAACTGGATTTACTTGGTTTTGCAGGACCCAAGGGTTTTTTCCTTGAACACGTTTCGCTTCTCATCTAAGAAGCTTCTTGTTCAAGGGAAGAAAACCAAGAAAGTCCTGTTGACTTTTGGAAAAGCATTTTTGGGACAACTATGATTTGGATGATTGAGAATCCGCACAGACGTTCAGCTCGGACGCTTCAAACAACATCACATGACTCTAATTTCCTTCCAGTCTCCAGCCGCCAAAAATCATTTAGACATCCACGTATAAGGCAACGGCGCGCATGCGCTGTTGCCTTACATGTCCCCCAGCGTTGCGCGCCTGCGCTCCCCTCTACATTCACTCCGTTCGCTTTATTACATTGTAAAGGTTGCTAACCACCTCCACCTCTTCCCCCCCCTCTTAGAACGCGCACGCTCGTACGTTCGCTCTCCCCTCGGCGCCCCCCCCACTCAATCTCTGCAGTCCCAGCTCTAGAAGAGTGTCGGAGGCGCGCGCGCAACCTAATGGCGTGCGTGCGGACGCATGCGCCATCCGATGCGTGAGCAAAGCGGGGAGTCGGGTTCAAAGGAGGAAATATGGCGGAAAACAAAGGAGGAGGAGGAGGAGGCGGCGGCGGTGGCGGCGGGGAGGGGGCTGGAGAGGCCGGGCCGGCGGGGGGTGGTCCCGAACCTGCCGCTGCGGCGTCGGCTGTTGTTGTCACCTCTGCGGCGGCAACTGCATCCCCGTCTTCTCCGGCCCCTACCCAGCCCGAAGAAAGGGAAAGCCCCGCCGCGGCGATTCTGGCTGCGGCGGCGGACAAGGGCCCAGGGGAGGCGGAGGCCGCGGCGCCGGTTGTGGTAAGCGTAGGCCCGAGCTCCACCTCTATCCCGGCACCTCTGGGCCCCAGCCCTGCTCCCCCCGCTCTGTCCAGCGCCGCGCCGGGCCCGCTGTCGCTTCTAGACACCTGCGCAGTGTGCGCGCAAAGCCTGCAAAGCCGGGAGGCCGAACCGAAGCTGTTGCCTTGCCTTCATTCCTTTTGCCGCCGCTGCCTGCCGGAGCCTGAGCGCCAACTCAGCGTGCCGGTTCCCGGCGGTGCCAACGGGGATATCCAGCAGGGTGAGTGAGGGAGTGAGTGCCAAGGCTGTGGGCATGAAAGTGCCGGTGACAGGAGTCTGACTGGGGAGGCAGCCCTGCTAAAGGTGGGCGCCTGCCTAAGGGAAGGGGCTGTGAACAAGGTGAATGAATGGAGGAGAGTAGGGTGTGAGAAGCGCTTGTGATTTAAACTGGCACCATTTTGACCAGATCAATAACCCCGTGTGATGCAGCGATACAGGGTGGGTTAGAAAAGGAATTCCAGGACTGACTGGCTGGATCGGAGGTTTGTGTCAAGGGCTGTATAGATGCCTTACATAAAGGTTGAACAGTGATACCGTAGGATGGAATTGGTCCGGAGCAGATCTTTTTGTGTAGAATTTGGTACATTTGTTGCTATATACAGCACCAAGCCTGACCTTGGAGAATCTCTTGTGTGTGTCTAAGTGGTCAATTGCAGAGAGGCCATATTAGATTACATTATATTAATAATTTGGAGTGTGTTAATTTGCACCTGTTGCAAAAGAGGCTACACTTAGAATTAAATCATTCTGAACTCAGAAATGTATGTTTATTTGAGCACTTCTACACAAATTCTTCTAGTACTTTGTATGAGTAATACTGTATACTGTACTGTATTCTTGAGAGTGGGATAATTTTTTTGTATGATAAAGAGTAAACATTTAGGTGTCAATACAGGGTCTTTTCTTTTTCTTCTTAAATTTAAGAATCCCATCATGCCTAATCCTAACTGACAAATTATAAACTGTTTCCAACATTCCACTCTTAACAGACTCCTCCCTTCCTCTTTATTCTACAGTTCAGGTCTATATAGTGCCTTTCCTGGGATTGCATTTGCTGTGTGATCCTAGGGGAAAAATTTAGTTTCTCTAAAGTGTTCCATAGACACTCATAGTACCTTTTGGAGATCAAATTCAAATATTCCCTCTCCCTCTCTCCCTCCTGCCTCAGATGTTTGCATTTTATTGGCTAGCAGTATTTAGGAAAAACAAAATAAATTTTAAGGATTGTCCAGCACTTTTTGTCTGCCTTTTAGTAGCTACTATCTATATTACAGATTCTGGGAGCCTTCAGGAAATCAATGATACTCACCTTGGCCTGAAAATAATAGTGGATAGTGTTTTGTTCTAGACGGAATTATTGAGAGTAAATGAAATGCATGTCAAGTGCTTCTAAACTTTCTCTAATTGCTGGCTTTTTCTGTTTTGAAATTTCACTCTAGGATACTTTTTCCTCAATCCAGATTCTCTGAAGTGTGTTTTACATGAGCATTTTTTGCAACTTTGGAAGATATACATTAAATAGATTTTCAGAGAATTGTGCATAATATTCTTAAATTGGGTGGGTATCAAGTATCAGACACCACATTAAATCTGGTTACAACCCGTCCCCCTGAATTTTTTCAAATCTTTATGAAAGCAGTATCATTTGGGAAAATGTTTTAAACCATCATGTAGGTCAAAAGGAGTGATTGTACTCTGTGAATTTTTTGTGACTAGAATTTACTTCTTTCAACTAAGTCATTGATTGAGATGGGCAGGTACAAAAATTGAACAAATAAATAAACATGACTTGCGATGAGATGTGTGCACAAGTGTACATACGTACACAAATTTAATAAATATGTAGTTTCATGAATTGCTATACATTTTTTTAAAAAATCTATCTGAGAAAACCTCATTGCACTAGGATCAATGAACTACCTATGATGCTCAGTTAATTCAAACTTTTAATGCTATATCTCTGGTTTTTCTAATTTCATCTTTACAATTTCCCCCCAGAAAATAAAAGGAATTTACAAAAATTAATTTTGAGTTTTCTGAGATGATTCAAAATCTCTGTTATTCTCTGTCAGAATAATAATGGTACAAGTTCTTAACAATATAATTAACTTACAATGTTAACTTACAAATAATCATATAAATTAATTCAATAATTTCTATTATCTCTACATTGTAGCTGGAAGATAGAGTGACTTACCATATGTGACTTTTTGGAGTATAAGACGCACTTTTCTCCCTCCTAAAAGAGGCTGAAAATTTGGGTGCGTTTTATACTCCGAATGTAGCTTTGTCAAAGCTTTTTTTCAGCCCTAACGAGACGCTAGCAAGTGAAGCAATCTCCGCTTCCTTGCTTTGCCTGCTCCTTCTGACTCTCAGCTGTGAAGTTTTTTTTCAGACCTAACGAGGCGCTAGGGAGTGAAGCGATATCTGTGGGTTGCCTGCTTTTCTCATTGCTTCTCTCTCCAAAGATCAGTTGTGCTTTAGAAGCTGTTTTTTATCCCCAAGCAGGGGATAAAACCCAGCAAACTAATGTGCTGAAGCCGACCAGACTAAGGACAGCCAGATGAATACCTGGTAGGCAGATTTTTTCCCCCTATTTTCCTCCCCAAAAACTAAGCTGCATCTTATACTCCGGTGTGTCTTATACTCCAAAAAATATGGTAATAATGTTGTTACCTGTCCTAATGAGAGGTAGTATGTAAACTGGACTGGACTTTCGGAGGATGGAAATGGCAGTCTTAGTGGCAACTGAGAGCCCTCCAGTGATCCAAGCTGGAAAGGGGAAGTGATCACTATCCTTATATTTTGCTTTATTTGCTTTTTTCCTTTTCATTATCTGATCGTTGTTCTTCAATCAGAATCATCTTTGGTGAATGAGAGGCTATACAAATTTGATAAATAAATACACCTTCAAAGGAAAGCAGTTTATTTGCATCTGCCAAATTAATGTTCTGAATCCTGCTTTCAATCATGCTTCAATTTTAGGGGCTTCTTGAGATCAAGGTTTGTGATTTCAGAAAGGCCAACGATGGAGGCTAATTCTGATGTCCAGTTCCCTTCTCCAAGGTCAGAAACTTGTTGCTGACATTTGAGGGGGAGCCAACCAATCTTGTGGCCTTAGGACTGTAGCCTTATTTTCTTATCTAGTCCTTTTATCAGTTAATATAATTTTACATTCTGCTTCCTCAAATAGACTTAATTGGGTGTTTTAATAATGTCTTGAAAATTGTCTTTTTTAACTTGGTGACATTTTTTATTTTATTTTATTTTTCTATGAATTTGTGTAGACTTGAAAATTGATGGCAATTCCTAGAACTATGTAAACAGATTTCAATAATGAGAGTAGGATTCATTGCACATTAGATTGATGATCATGTTTGCATGTTTTGTAAAGAATATATATAGCTAATAAAGCTAATAATTACATGAAGCATTTGGATCTGTTGTACTTACATGCTGAAAAGGTTGAGATTTGATAAGCTGTTTTGGACATAGTATTAAACATAGGTTAATAATACATAATTATTTTGTATGTAATCCAGTTTCTCTCTTTACTGAAGTAAGAATATTGTCTTTTATTTGTCATTATGTTCAAATGTAATTACATTTTTCAGTATGAGAAAGTTGTATAAAGCTGCAGTTAGTCACAGGAGTAAATATAGAGGAAAAACTGCTCTTTGAAAATTGTTATAATATACATACCGAAAAGTGAGTTTTAATCTATTTTTCATCTTCCTGACAAAATATTTGTATTATCTGTAAATGTCAAACACATAGATTGAATGTTTATTATGGTTTCTGCCTCAATGGAGCCTTTTTAGAAAAAAATGATAACATTTGGAAATATAAAAATCGTACGTGTTCATAACTAATTTCTAATCAATTAGAGAGAGAGGGCTGATGTTGGGTCTAAAATAAGGAACTCTAATAAAGTGGATTCTAATTGATTTTTAATCAAACCATTGGTCCATATAACTTTGTATTGTAAGGACTAGCCATTCTCAATTTGATGACCAATTTGTGTTGGATTTCTATTATTTTTATTTTGAGACACCATGATCAAAGGCCATAATGACCTGAAATTAGTCCAATACATCAGGAAAACCTGCAGTTGAGAAAGGCTGCTTTTTAGGTGATATAAATTTTAGTAGTTTTTCCCATATCTGTTTGCATATGCTTAATGTTTATTGATTAGGCTTGTTCACTGAGCAAGTTTATAAATTGTTCAATAATAGATGACAATTTCTACTTTCAATATTGAAATCAGTAGTATTTCAAGGATGAAAATGTCTACCAATTTGTCTATGTTTCTGAAGTTCAAGTCCATTTTCTTCTATTAAAATCCACTGAATGATAATTGGCCAGCCATTATTTTTCAGTCGAGCATATACTGTTGTTCTTGGGAAGAATGCAAGATTAATTATATATGTTACATTGAGCTCCTGTGGAAATATCAAGACTAAATAAAAATGCCAGGTCTCTTGTATTACCCTTTCCTATGCAAAAGTTATGCAGGATTTTTCTTTGAAGTAAAAAATTTAAAATGAAACTTAGTATATTTTAGGTTACTCTATAACTTAAATAATGTAGTTTAAAATTGCAGATTAGTTTAAGACAACTATTTATGAATCAAAACAAATACATTCCTGTTGTTCAATCTTAAAAGTAGCAAAGCAGATTGTATGATTTGTTCAAATAGACCATATATTTGAAGTATTTGGTAGACGTTACTCATTAAAGTTTTTTTAAATTATAACTCATAATTTTGTAAAGTCAATTGGCTTAAGAATTGTATTCCCATTAGGTATTAAGACCAATTTAGCAGCATCAACAACTAGTTTAAATCTCATTTGGAATGTAAATTACTTGATTGAAATAATGAGCAATTAGAATACAGTGATTTATTTAAGATCAGCAAAATGGTTATGTGAAATAGGACAAGAAGGTTGCGTGCAGGATATCAACAATATTGATGTAGCCATTTGCTCCTAAAGGATTTGGTTCTATGTTTTATAATACCTGTATTTAGGCACATCAACCTGTAATATTCATACCACCAATATTGAAAAATCGATCTATAAATCAGGGTATTCTTCTGGGCTAGCTTTGGGAGTTGTGGGTTCTCTTCCTTCTCCAGCGTTGGTTTCAGCAGATATTGATGGGGGAGAGAGGTCCAGCCTGCAGTCCTTTGCAAAATGCTTTAGGGCTTGGTACTTTCTC